TCTCTATCAAGTTTTTTATTGATGTTCCCTTAGATAGTAGATCAGCAGGGTTGTTTTCAGATCGAACATGGTGCCATATCTCAGGACTTGTTAAATCTTGGATTTCTTGCACCCTATTTGCCACAAACTGCTTCCATCGACTGGCATCTTCTTTAATTCAATATAAACAAATAGTTGAATCAGTCCAACAATAAATACTATTAAAATGCACATTTAAATAGTTTGTGACTTTCTTCACCAAATTGGCGAATAACACTACTCCACACAGTTCTAAACGTGGTAGGCTCACAAGCTTTAATGGAGCTACCCGCGATTTTCCGCATAATAATTGAGATATATGTTTCCCTGAAGATGTTGAGCATCTTATAAAAAGACAACAACCGTATGCCCTGGTAGATGCATCGCTGAACCCATGGAGATCGATACTAATGTACTCTGATATTGTTGCCTGCCGTGGTATTTTTAATTGATTTAAGTCGCCAAAATTGTTGTAAAATCTTAGCCAGTTTTCAGTAACATCATCTGGTAATTCTTGGTCCCAACCTAACTTCCTTTTCCAAAGGTCTTGCATTATTAATTTCGCGTTGATAATCAATGGACCAAGAAGACCCAGAAGATCATATATTTGACATATCACAGAAAGAATACTTCGTATACTCCATTGAGAATGCTGAATACTCATATCAATATTGACATTATAATTTATAATATCTTTCGCAGCATCCCAATAAAGACCTAGATTCTTATTTTGTTCACCTATTTGAAGAACAGCTACATCCAAATCATCATTTAAATCAAAATTCTTCAAAATATCGACATCATCACAGAGCCACTTTCGTAGTTCAAAACCTGATGTGGCTAAAACTTTGGAAATATTTCTTTGGCTATCTATGATTTCAGATTTCGAATTGGAAGATGTTAAGAGATCGTCGATGTAAAAGTCACGCCTTATTATTTCTGAGATTTTTGGATATAGATGTTCATTGTCTTCTGCCACTTGCAACAGAGTTCTAACAGCAAGATAGGGCGCCGACGCTGTCCCGTAGGTAACAGTGTTTAGCTCATAAACCTTTAATTCTTCTTGTGGGTTTTGGCGCCAAAATATTTTTTGAAAATTCCGATGTTCTTTATCAATCAAAACCTGGCGATACATCTTTGATATGTCACCGCTTAGGACATAGTTAAACATACGGAACCTTATTAATATTAGAAATATATCTTGTTGAAGAGAAGGGCCAACGTATTGCACATCATTTACGGATAAACCTGAACTTGATTTGGCCGACCCGTCAAAAACCACACGACATTTTGTAGTCAGGCTAGATTGTTTTATAATAGCGTGATGCGGCAAAAAATATCCGTTTTCATTTGTTGACTCAACTTCATACATAGGATCCAAATTTAAATACTCAGACATAAATTCTGAATATTGTTTTTTCAACTCTGCATTTTTGCTCAATTTTTTTTCTAGTAAATCAAACCTATGTAGTGCCATTGTTCTAGAATCTCCTAATTCATGGACCGAATCTTTAAAAGGAATCTTGACAATATATTTTCCAGAAATATCTTTTCTACTTGTCTTTTTGAAATATTCTTGACAATATTTTTCTTCCCTTGACAAAATCTTCTTCCTCAATCTCCCAAAACTTCACAATCTTGTCACTAATGGAGTCTGGTTCATTATTCAGGCTTAAACAAGTAAGCGACTCATTATTTGTTTCTAAACAATTTAAATATAAATTTCCCGCAATCACCCAACCAAATTCAGTATTTTGCAAAATTGGCATGTCGGGACCGAACCTTTTACGCCCTGAGAGTAAAATGGACCAAAAAATATGGGATCCTATCAGCAAATCAATATCTTCCGATAAGTGAAAATTTGGATCTGCCAATTTTATATTTAAAGGAATTTTTAAGGCATTTCTATTGAAAGATTTTGTTGGTATTTTGCCTGTAATGTGGGGAATCACTAAGCATTTTGTTTCTATGTTAAAAGGTCCACTACATGAATTAATTATTATCTTAGTTTCATTATTAATTTTTGCTAAAGCTTCTCCTACACCTTTAACTGCATGATTAATTTTATTGCACTGTAAATTTAACATTTTACACAATCTCTCAGTGATAAAATTGCTTTGTGAACCGCTGTCCAAAAGTGCACGACAGAGAACCGATTTATTTTTTTGTACTACGCGAACAACAGCAGTAGATAATAAAATTTCCGAAGTATTACTATAAGCGGCAACATCGCCTTTCGTTTCCCTAGCGTGATTGGGAAAGGATGTACTGGGCTGTGTGACGTAAGAGGGTTGCTGATTGTCATTCTCGAAACTAAAATCAGAAGATGTGTTGCAGGCGCCAGTATGCTCCTCCAGGCCATCAGGCTGGGAAGATTGTGCACCAGTGGTAATTCGTGGATAATTAATATTTACATTTGAATTTAAATGCAACAAAGAATTGTGCAATTTGCGACATTTAATACACCTTTGCAATTTACATTTCCAAGTAGGGTGAGAGTCCCTTAAACAATTTAAGCATAGTTTAATTTTTTTTACTGCCAATATTCTTTCATTGACATTCAATTTCAAAAAAGCTTCACATTTATAAATCGGGTGATCTTTTTGACAGAAATAACATTTCAATTTATTCTCATTAATAGAAGCAAGACTACGACTTTGACTTGTACGAAATTTGCCTTTGTTAGCCGAATTAGCAGTATCAGCACACGAACTTATTTCTAACTTTTCCAACATATTACATTTTTCTTTAAGAAATTTATTTAAATCTTGTAAGCTGGGTAAATCTTGTTCATATTTAAAACATTCCCAGTCCCTTCTTGTGACACTATCAAATTTAGAACCAATAATATAAATTATTATGCTATCCCAATTGTCTGTTTGTAACCCTAAACTACTCAAGGAACGCAAATGCTTTGTTACATTATCAAATAAACTTCTTAGTTCTGTGTGCGATTCTTTTATAATTGAAAAATAGCCTTCAAATGATTATGAATTATTAGATTTTTGTTTTGGTACCGCTCTTCCAGCATTTGCCAAGCAATTGTATAATTGCTTGACGAAACCTCTATAGACTTTATTATCTGTTGGGCTTCGTTATCTAAAGAAGACCTTAAATAATAAAAACGTTGAATATCAGATAAAGCACTGTTGTTATGTACCAAAGCCAAAAAACAATCTTTAAATTCCAGCCATGATTCATATTGTCCATTAAATGTTGGTAATTTAATAGGTGGTAGCTTGACCAATGACTGTAAATTATTTCCAGAATTACCTGGGCTTGCATTAGAAGCTAAATTAGAGCCAGAGCGATCAGATGATCCTGAGTGTTCCTTGCTTAATTCATCACAAAGAGCTTGCATTGAACTAACAATTTCAAAATAAGAATTTTCAAACGAAAGCAATTCAGCATCATTATAATTATCACTATCTGTAAGTTCAATCTGCCCTTGAACCTCAATAAATTCATCGTATAAGGGAGAAACCTTTTCTATTCTTAATTGTAATTCAGAAATTAACTTATTTTTATCATCAATATCTTTATCAATATTATTAAAATATGTTTTTACCCTTGTTAATTTACCCTTAATTATTCCCTTTTTTGAATTTAAAGTCTTCAGCTCTGTTTCAGACATTGTTGATCAAATAAATGGTAAATTGAAACAAACCACTTACCAATGGTGGTAACTTTAACTCCCGACACCGGCTGATTACGGTCTATCACCCATACACAGCACTGAATGCCTAAATTCCTTCTGGAGTTTTCACGTGCTCGAACATAACTGATACGTACGATGCACCCTCAAGCAGTGGCGTAGCCAGGATTTTGTCTTGGAGGGGGGGGGGCAAATTTGCAGGAAGCGTCTCTTGCGGCCCTACCGCCACCGCTGCCGCAGGCGCGAAATTTTTGGGTGCCACGCCCCTTTTTCAGGTTTCTATTTTTGGGACTGTTTATCTTAATTTTGGAGAAATATTCATAAAATTTAAGGATCTTGGGGGATGAAAATGCCCCCTTGCCCCCCCCCCCCCCCCCTGGCAACGCCAGTGCCCTCAAGCCAGTTTCGGAATTTCCGAATCCAACGGATTCCTAGTAAAGCGCGGTGACAAACTTGCCTCGCATGTCGAAGTTGCCCCAGTCTCCCCTATATGCTTTTAGAATTAGGTGAAAGCGATATTCGATAAACTCATTTTGTGAAGTCAATTAGTTCCATAAATTAAATTTGTTGTTGTCCCATGAATATCCTCCGATCCTCGAGACCGAAGGTTCCTGAAATTAATAGGTTGTCTGGTGATGAGGAACAGATGACCTCATATGAGGTGCCTAATAAAGATTTGCATTATGTTTGGGCACCCCAGATGACGTCATAAAAGTAATCAGGTAACCTACCTCTTTCAAACAACCGTGCTCGAGACCTATGTCGTATCTATACTGAAGGGTGGAAATGGTTCGATTATTCTGTTCTCATTAGCTCTGGAATTCTCACAGCATCCCGATTTTCCGCCATATAATAATTTTATATTTTTTAGACATTTTCAAACGTCAGATCCAATTTCCGAAATAGACTCATTGAAATTCTAACTAGTTTGCTTTGCTAAATGTCAGGACCACTGGAGAGTTTTACAGCCAACACGTGAATATTCAATTCATCTCTTAGTTTGTATATTTTCTAGACTAAATGAATATGTAAGCCTTTTATGGGTCTGTTGACACAAAATGTATAGCAACTTGAAAGAAAAAGTTACAAGTAGGTATATGATGAGCCTCTAGTAGTAAAGTTCCTAGATACGCTGCATACATTTCAACATTTCCTCTTAAAGTACCTTCTTTTTAATTTTTAATGTTACTAGACCGATTACTGCGTTGATTTTACAGAACATTCCTTTTCGAAAAAAACACAGCTGTAATCATAAGTGCTAATAGGAAATCCGCAAAATAAAAATATTGAAACTAAATCTCGCAACTAGATCATTACTACTACTCACCTGCAAAGCTATTATCCGAGACTTGTTTACGTTGCTCATTATACACACAGCAACGGTAAACAAACCGGCCGACGATGAAATCAACTTCCTCAGTGACTCTGTGTACCTGCGTAAAAAGATATCTTTATAATAGCAGATTTCAGATTATTTTTAGAGCAAAATTCTCTATTAGTGAAAGTCGACATTCTTACCGTATACAGCAATTAAGCAGGCACTGCAAACAGGAAAGTTCGTCTAAAAGAGCTCTTCTTTGTAAAGACGGTGGTATTTTGCCGGTAGTACCAGAAGAACCTGCTGGTCCATGTATCACAGTACTGGACTGGCTTAATTGGATAGCTCTTAGAAGATCTAGTAGAAGTGTGACTCCGTCTAGTGGTTCGGCAACAAATTCTTGCACAAAACTATAATAAAATAGAAAATTTAATCAATTATTAGTTGGTTCACTCGACATTAGTTCGTCGAAAATAGATTATCACTCATCATCAAATACGTTGCACAATACAGGATGAGTAAAAATAAGAGAACTTCAAGTCTCTTATCCAAAAAGTACATAGAAATGTTTCAAATTACTTAACAATAAACAATATAACTTCCAACCAAAGAATATTCCGCAAAATCTGTGTCCGATAACAGGGCCTATGCCTCTAGATTGGTAATTAAATCCGGCCAGTGTGCACGTACCTTCAATAATTCCATATTCGTCTCTACTATCAACTTGACATATTTTTTTCACCTACCCCTCGATATTACCTTTCAAATCACGAAAACCGGTTAGTGTCAAAAAAAAGTCAAAATTCTAACGCTATCAAAACCCCACACGTTTTTGTGTCGGGTTCATACATAAAATTATTTTTATTTTATTATATTTTCTAGTGTAAAATGGCTTCGTGTAAGCCCTGTGGAAGATTGGCAAAAGATGGTTCATCCCCTCGTCATAATTTAACTTGCCCTCCATGCCCGTGCCCGCCATGTGGAGTTCCTGTTCCTGGTCCACCTCCAGTATACCCTTGTCCACCCCCATGTACTCTGCCCATAGTTGCTGATGGGATTCCCAAGTACGTGGTGAATCCTTGCGATCCCAATGCCCGTGCCAGGCCGGATAAAGGAAAAGACAACCCTTTGTGTTGTAATGTGTGCGTTCCTGTTACCGTGTCCTGTCCTCCGCCAGCGCCACCCAAACCCAGAAGAAGATGTAAGTACATTCAACCCAATAGACCCCAGTCGTATGCTCCCGAAAGAAAGTATTTGCCACCCGATTTGAAGATGGAAGACGGTACCATCTACAAAAAGAGTTATATTCCTGCTATAGCCGAAAAACCTAAACAAATTATACCTGAAAATAATTTGTGCGTTGGTGAAGGCAAATTTGCAGAGGATACTATAAACAGAATGTCGTATAAGCCTGTAAAAATCGATCCTGCTTGCCCTTTTTATCCTTGCGAACACAAATTGATCGGTGAAGGTCCGATGCAAGATTTAACCACAAACAAACACGATTACGTTCCAAAACCGTTTGTAAAACCTGAGGCTGTGAAACCATTCACAAATCTGTTCACATCAGATTGTCCTTTGAGCGATAAAACCGTTAATCGAATGTCCTATATGCCCATCGATCTTAACAAAGCCAAAGTTACCCCGTTCCATCCCACCAACGCAATAGAAAAACCCACTGGCAAAATAAGCGATAAGACTGTGAATAAAATGTCCTATCAACCATGGGAACCGACTGGACCCATCGATAAACCGTGGGCGGAGAAACCAAAGTATCAAGCACCAAAGTTGAAAATGGAAGATAATACGGTGAATAAGATGAGCTACAAGCCTCCAGGGCATTACGTTGAGTGCGACGATGACGATCCCGATTGTATTGAGTGTCCAGAAAGTGTTTCCATTTTACCTTCAGCACAGCAAGCATGTAGAGGTCCAAAGGTTTGTTGTTTGCCGTGCTGTTGTCCCAGAGCATCCTTTTGATTGCAAGCATTTCTTGCTATACCTAGTGAAATTGTGGTTTTGTTTTCAGATTTTTACATTCAGTATATGTCCAAATTTTCAATAGAAATGATTTTAATGGTTCAAATTTTGTTTTATTTTTAACGTTGGTCAAAAGGGTATTTTTTTGTTACTTTGCCGCCTGGATAACGTGAACTGTGTTGTTGGGAGTTTGTTCCAAACTGCTCCTGGAGCACGTCAGCGAGGGCTTGGGTTTTGTGACTGGGGGCGAGTGGATACCTATTGTCTTCTAGGACAATGGTTTTTCATTCTGGACTTTACGACACATGAGTTGTTTGCTTGAACAAGTCTTTTTTCACTGTTGGCATTTTCTCCAAGTTTAATAGCAATCATCTACCTTATGTTTGAGAGTTTATCCTGAAGTAGGTAAGTAGCTGGTGGATTCTCAGAAGTCATGTCTTATGGATAGGCGAATGGAAAGCGGAAATACTCGTCGATGATAGTGAGTATATATTTGTTCCTTGAATCAGATGAAAGAGGGCCTTTGAAGTCCAGAGATATTCTCTCGAAAGCCGAAGTTGCTTTGATGAGTGTCTCTTGATTATTGATAAATTTAGGTTTGAGTTCTGCACAGACTGGGCAAGACGCTGACCTAATACGAATATCTTCTACAGAGTAGGGAATAATGCAAGATCTGACCCAGTGGACCATTCTAGTGATTTCAGGATGACACAACGCTTGATCTAAATCGAATATAAAGTTTTCTGACTATTTGAACCACATATTCGAGAAAATCTATCAGCTACTATACGTTTTCTCGTCCTGATCTATACAATATGTATATCATAGCTGTAACATGATAGTTCAAGTCACCATCTCAAAATCTTTTCATTTTTCATTTTGGTACTGTGTTTGGTATCAACCATGAAAGATACAGATTTTTGATCAGTAATCAGCTGAAAATGTCTTCATTTTTTAATCGCTTCGACTATGGAATAAGCTTCTTTTTCAACTGATGAATGAATTTGTTCACACTTACTTAGTGTTCGCGAGAAAACTGCAACTGGCCTTCTTGCTTGACTCAAAATGGTAGCAATGGAATGTTCTGAAGCATCAGTCTCAACCACAAATGGAATGTTATCTCCGATTGAAGTAACAGCTGATTTCGCATTATTCAATTTAAGCTTCTCAAAATCGTTTACACAGATTTCTGACAACGGAAAAGATTTTCAAGAATCAATTCGATGAATTTTCTCTGAAAAGCAAGGTATCTACTTTGAGTAATGGGCGAAAATCCCAAGAACTCTTTGCAGATACTGAGAGTCTTCAGGTACAAGTAGGTTTCGTAAAGGTTCAAGTCTAACTGGATCAGGCTTCAAGGGATTATTCCCAATCAGATATCTGAGATTAATTTTAAGAAGTAAGAACTTTTCTTTTCGTTTATGGTAAAATTGTATTTTTTTACGAGTAAAAATTTTTTTAAATTTTTATCATGGTCTGCTTGATTTCTACCGCATATCGTAATATCACCTAAATATGCACAGATTCCCTAATTTTATTATCTAGTCTATTACCCGCTGAAAACATGCAACTCCGTCTGTCACACCAAAGGAATTCTTCGAAACTGATATAATTTACCATCTGCCTCAAAAGTAATATACTGCTTTTCGTCGTCACGTATGGGAACTTGGTGATACGCACAATGTAAATCTATAGTACTGAAAATCTTGAATTTCACCACAGCACGAACAAAGTATTGATCAGCAAACCACACTCATCCATAAAATGCTTTTCTTGCGGAAAAATTGGCCACACAGCCAATCAATGTAGACAACATGCTTCTAGTCGTTCAAACTTCACTCAATACCCAAATCAAAATTTTCAAAAAACGACAACAGCTAACTACTCAGGCACCGCAAACCAACAACCAACAACCAATGTTCTGCAAAATAGAACCCAAAATGTATCCACTTCTAAACAATTCGTACCAAGATAGGCTTCAACTACCCCTCAAAGAAACCCCAATTTTCACCATGACCAGCAAAAAACTTATCTTTTAAATGATTCCTCTAATAAAACATATGCCAACGAATATGAGTGAGCTGAACAAGATACTAGTTATGAAAAAACGAATATGCTGAACAATTCACTAGATCCGAACGCTGAAAATTATCAGGATTTTCCGGTACCTTTTCCCAATCACCATCCGCCAGAGAATACCCCTCAAGATCACACTTCGAATATCGAGACTCAAATACAACTTCTGAATCTAGACAACATGAATTCGAACCTCAATTTTCCGGAACAAGCATTTCTTTAAAGCCACTTCTTACTGTTCATTCAAAAGTAGATCTTCAAACAATATTTTTTCTGATGTAGATAGCCGCTCTTCATTTATGTTACTCGATGTTCCAGGCTGCTCTCTGATTAAGTAAGATGTCCCAGGTTCCGTAGATGCGATGTTTTCTTCGGAATTTTCGTGAAGACGATGACGTATACTTTCTGAGGTCTATTCCATTGAAGTTAACTGGGTATAAAGCTGTAATTTGGAAAGATTTTTTTATCAACTGAAGCGACAATTTCTCCCAAATTTTTCCAACCATTTCAGAAAACTCGGCCTTGCTTAAAGCAATGCCATAATGTCCTCTTTGCCATATGGTTAATTCTTCGTCCCACATTTTTTTGAAGGTTCCAAATGGCACTGCATCTAAGGGTTGCAAGACATGTGTCGTTTCGCTTTTCTGCAATAGCCAATTTTACAAGTTTTACTGAAACATGTGAAGTATGCCCATCAAAAATTGATAGAAGTGGTCTTTCCTTGGGGCCATATTTTATAAAGTGGTTTTTGAACCAAGAAAAAAATGCAAACTCGGTCATCCATCCATGAGGAGTTGCAGCATAGCCAGTATTAGGATAAGCGCCTTCAGGCATCCACAAATCCCATAGATTTTTGGCCTTATAAATAATAAATGGCGGTAGTTCGTTTCCGTCAGCTGAAATACAGAACAAAATACTTGTGTTGCTTCTTCCTGTGCCGTGCGTGTGACGAAAAACTGGTTGATTTCACTGCGACACAACCTTTGTGTTACTTGGATCGCTGCAAAGTGACGTTTCATCTATGTTAAATATTCTTTCTGGAGCGTTTAAAAGATCTAGTTCCTTGAATGTATCCTCATACAATTTAATTAATTAATTTAATAATTAATGTATCATTTCTGGCGTTGTACGTTCCGTATGAATGCTTTGTCGTTTTATTGTTCTTGCAAGACAAGTTGTATCGTCGACAAAATCCGATGAACCAGTCTTTTCCAGGAATTTCGTCTTTAAATCCAGTTGCGATTTTGTTTTCTTTCACGTAAGTGCCTACTAGACATAGGATCTCCTTCCTCGAAAGACCAAACACCCATTTATTTCAAGCATTCAAATTTCTTGCGAGGTCTGCCTCAATCTCAGGAGACAAATCGGTTATTCTACCGGGGTTGTCGTGCTTTGTTGGAGTTCTAATTTTCCACCCTTTAAGTCTTGAGATAATGGTTGATCGAGGAATTTTGAAAGTCATAGATGCTCTTTTGCAAGACATAATCCCATTTCTTATAGAGTTTATTGCATTTTCCATGTCCTCCTTCGTATAGCTTTTTACCATTGTTCTTTCTTTCGGCATTTCGAACCTGTAAATGAGGAAATAAACCCTTCATTTCTCGTGGTAATATTGTGACTGAATGTCAGAATTAAACATTACATTGAATCACAATTAAACGATTCGCAATTTTTGAAAGCCTAAATGTGACACCCATGCACTCAAGTTTGAAATGTGAAATATTGAGGTTAAAACTGGGCCAAATTTACCGTAGTATATACGTAACACAATTGTATGTGGGTACTAGAAAACCAAAATAGTAAAATTGAAATAGCTATTTATGTACCAAGGGGATTATGTAGATTATAATGCCCGAAGGCGAAACTAGCCCGAGGGCCTATGGCCCGAGGGATATATTTCGCCTGAAGGGCATTATAATCTTGAAATCCCCGTGGTGCATACAATGCTTTATTTTCTACTCAACACAATGTTTTTTCATCAATTTGTTATTAACAAAATCAGTTGAACTTGTGTGACAGAATATTGTTTTGTATTTTGACATGTACCTGTACCTGTGACCTGTACCTGTATCTGCGACCTGTACATAGAAACGAAATAAATTAATATATCTATAAACATCTCATAAGGTAAGGCAACGGTGGTGGTCCTGTGGGTTAACGCGCTGGACTACATGGGAAACATTGATGGTAGACCGGGTTCGAATCCTGGCTAGACCGAAAATTATTTTCGGTCAGACATTTAGTGGCTGCCTAGGGTAAAGTGCAAATTAATAGAACAACAACAACAAAAACACCTTAAGGTATTATAAGCGGGCGTTATAGATCATAACGCCCGCAAAAGCGGGCGTTATGGATCAGGTTGTTATAGGTGTGTTAACGTATTTCGTTTCCTAGGTATTATGGATCTATAATAGTAAAGTAGAAAATAAAAATAATAATGCAACCTACCTTTTCCTTACTGTGGCCACGAAGCAACTGAAAGTTTTTGGCGGGATAAAGTGATATGCCCGCGTACTTACAGAGTTGCCAGCTTTGACGTTCTGGCATTAGGATGCAAGATACCTAATTGCATGTGTTACATTTACCCTCTAATCACAATTATGCGAATTCACTGTACCCCCAAATCCACAAAGAAGAAGTCAAATCCCAAGTTACCAAAATGCTAGACTAAAACATAATTCGCCATTCTGTATCTCCATGGTCTTCTCTTGTCTGGGTCGTTACTAAGAAACTTGACCCAAATGGCGCGCCGTAATCGACTACCATAAAGTCAACGAACTTACTGTAGACGACAAATACCCGTTGCCTGATATTTCCGATATTTTGGATCAATTGGGAAAATGTAAATATTTTTCCACCATTGACCTAGCCTCAGGTTTTCACTAAATAGAACGAAAACCGCTTTTTCCGTAGAAAATGGCCATTACAAATTGTTACGTATGCCATTTGAATTGTAAATTGCCCCGTCTACATTCCAAAGGGCCATGGACAATATTCTCCTCGGCATTCAAAACGAAAGATGCTTAGTCTGACCCATTCAACATTCTCTCGTACGCAGTTATCTGTTATGTTATGATAATACCAAAAATGAGACACCCTGATTCACACTTTTCGAATTAATCTTTGACCATACGTCGAATAGACCCCCTGAGACTCTTTATAATCAAAAATAGCTAATCTTCAAATGTACATACGAGACCTCAACAACAGAAAGGCATATTATGATAAAATGGCTCGAGCCAGAACCGATATCCAGAAAGAAAAGTCGAAAGTAAGGTTCGACAATATGGCCTCACAAAATCTTCCAGAATATAAAGCAGGTGACAAGGTGTATACGAAACAAACTCAAATAAAAGACAAAGCTCAAAATCTTTTCAACGGACCTTTCGAAATAATTGAAGTTTACAGAAACTCAGCGAAAGTGGAAAACCTCAAAACAAATCAATTTTCGAAATCTAACTTTGATAGACTAAAGCCGTTCTATGACTAGTCTATTCTTTTTCAGACTCGTCGGGCTGATTCCAGTCGGCACCCCTCAATTTCTTCTAGCTCCAATTAATAACACGGAATATTGTATCACGAAGAAGGTATAGTCTTAGAGTCTTAAATGATAAATGGACCCTTTTAGTTTACAAAGAAATATAATCATTTAGAGAAACTATCCAAAACAATAAAAAGATGCTCACTAGCCTGGCCAAAATAATTGATCACCCTTCTCCTCGAATGACAGCCTTCAAAGTTGAAGTCACAGAACATATCACCTATAGAAAAATATCTCAAATGGGAGATTCGCGACGAAGGCTTTTAGTTAGGTTTTCATTCAACGATGGCGACACTGTCGGGAGATAAGAGAAATTTACAGGTATCTGTGGTGTGGACAGTGATTTGTGTTGGTTGGTTTTGTCATTTATTTTGTCATTTTAAAAGTCAAAATTTGAATTTGTAAATTGTGTTGCTGTACCCCACGGTTTCCACGCGCGTTAAAGTGAAAATTCAAAAAGTTGGGTTGAAAAAAAACCTAATTTTTGTTCGTATTTTTTTGTATTTATTCGTTTGTTTCGTTTCGTTCGTATTTGTATTTATTATTCGTATTTACTTTGCGATCTACCTATAGCTGCGTGTCTCTTGCTTACTTACTTACTCTTTTTGCACTATGTTCGACATCGGAAACTTCCTGCCAGTCATAGTTTTCAAAAAAATGAGGCGAAAAGAGCTAAGAGGAATCAGCAAGCCAAATGCAGTTGAACATTAAAAATTATTTAAAAATAATAAAAATATATGAAAAAAATCAATTCGCCTTTTTGTCAAGAATACTCGATTAGTTGTGTTTTCAGTCAACGAGGGCGCCGTAATTCATAACCGGTACATAACATTGCAGATACTTTTCTAGAGGTGATATGTTCTGTGGTTGAAGTTCACACCATGTCTAAACTTATTTCAGCCTTTTAACTTAAGTTGCTGATTCAGTCGACCAAAAACTTGATGAAATCACTGGCGACACAAACTATAGACTATAGAAACAAACGTGGACTAATTAACAGAATAGGAAGTATGTTTAAATCAATCACCGGAAGCTTAGACTCTACCGATGGTGGATACTTGAATGAATGTATTGACAAAATTAATACAGACGAACGGGAACTTGAAAGTTTACTTGCTTAAAAACCAAATTTCTGTAACCACCTCAGTAATAATTTTTTTTAATTCTACTATTCTGGAATTCGATAAAGAAACATTCAACATCGATAAAGCAGAAATCAGAGAATTCATATCTGACATTTCGAACGATTTAAAGTTTTACAAAGCCCAAACCAGAACTCTAAACCTCTGTGAATCAATAATGGAAAGCTACGTCTTTCTGGAAAATTCCCTTAATGACATTATAGAAGCAAGAATGTTTACACGTTTAAATATCTTATATACCTCAATTATAACTCCTAGAGACTTGGGCGCCCCCTTACAGGAAATATCGCGTTCTTTATCCAAAAATAACCTTCCTTTACCAACATATCTTCCATATATATAGCACGATACCTGGATATAATAATATAATTGATTTAGAAGCTTATCAATCAGAAGATAAAATTGTCTTTATTCTTAGAATACCGCTAATCGAACCAGAGATATAGACTCTTTATCACATCTACCCAATCCCGATTTTGGATACTCAAACAGGTTTTCATCATATTTCACCAATAACTCAAAAATATATCGCGAGAGATGACGATTCTTCATTGTACATATTGTTCCAAAGCCTGGATCACTGCAAACTTCTTGATAATAACACAAGGATATGTTCTGACTTTCTTCAATAACCTATAGACAGCGATGCCATTTGCGAAGCCCAACTCCTGAAGTCGACAGGGACACTTCAAAAGACTTGCCAAACCTCAATCTTACTCGCTAGTGACTACAATGTGCAAGAACTAGACACAAACTACTGGCTCATAACATTATCATCGTCCCTTCCAATCAATATCAGTCATCACATGTGATGACAAAAACAGTCTGACAAAAACAATCAACGCCAACTTTTCACAATCCATAGACAAAGGTGAAGGTAAATTTATCACCTTTCCATATCAAATAGCACTGAAACGTGATAAATTTTACCTTTACCATCGGATTGTGAATAGATAATACCATACAATTTAATGTGAAACCAATGGATGATGGCACAGAGACTTCTCCGTTTTCGTTTTTGCATTGAAGTGAAGGATTGTTGATTGGCTAGGGCCTCCAGATGATTTCTTCTGAACTGGATGGAATAGGAGTATGGAGTTTGTAGAACAAAGCTCCTTCAATTTTTTTCTGGTAGCGGCAATCATAAGGACTTAATCAACTTCATTTTCTTGTTCTGTTTTCATTACTTGTTGAATCATGCCTTTCAAGAGTAAATATAAATCTTAAGCTGTCGTTTGCCATAATAATGTACAACAAATTCATATCAATGGTAGTTTGACTTATATGATGATGGAGGGAATCATAGAAGTATTCTATAAGAAACACGAGCATGTTCCAAAATCGTAAATAAACTTCGTTTACATCATACTGTCTGTTCAGAGACAAGATTGTCTTATATGCTGATTTTACTACCGAGTTGGACACCTGAAGGACCTACTTTTATAAATCTCTATAGCTCTTGAATGAGAAGGAAAAAAAAAAACAAAAACACCAAATAATCACCATTAAAGAGAAAACGACAGTAAAGAATAATCATTATCTATCTATCTAACTATCTTTTAGACTAAAAAGAGGTTTTTCCTTTCAAATCCAGTGGCAATAATAATCATTACTAGCTGCGTTAATTTTTTCCGGATTCTTTGAAACAAAATGTTTTGCTGAAGATTGTATTTAATCACCCACGCGTGTAAGTCGTTAATTTATCCATTTCCATGGATAAGTCACGAGTAAAGTACTTAAGAGTATTAGGTATCATACCCATTTCCTTAAAGCTGCGATCAAAGTTAATTACTAACCCAAACCCAAAATCTAAAATCCATTATTCCGAATTAAATACTGCGTGATAGCGCCAGCTGTTTAATGTGAGGAACGGACATTAAATAGACATTTGGTCGTTAATGGTAAACTATTAATAGCTCTTCTAGCTGTATAAATTTAAAGCCAACACATTAAAACCATTTGTCAAGAGGTCTTTCCACGATAACATGAGAACACTTTTTTTTTACAATAAATGGAAAAACAGATTGTTGGGTCCTTACCTAGGAAACGCCATCTTCAAATCCGTCTTCAATTTGGCTAATAGTTCCGAAACAGTCCCAAACTGCCTGAGCGTCATCTCGGAACCAGATGACGTCAGCATCGGGTTCCTGTAGTCTCGGAAAGAGTTGCTTTGGGATCGTTGACTGTCGACGTCTGACGTACTGGAGTTGGAGTAAAGAGACATGATGCCGCCATTCGCTGATTTTTTGCCCCATTTTTTCAGCATGAGGGCGTAGTCTTCGGGGTTGTAGATTGGTGGACGTTGTTTTTCCTGGAATGAAATACTGTCTTGAGCTAGAATATGGCGGATCCTTAAATTATGAGTAAAAAAGTAATCTCCAATTACCTCTTATGTACCTGAAAATATAATATCTTGGAATTATCAATTTTCTTATAAGTTTACCTATAATTGTTAAAAAGACCACAGCTTATGTGTTTCTCCAGTAAATGTGCCAATTACATAGCAATTTGTAATCTTTTGAAAATAAAATAACCCATCATATCCGTTGAATGCTGAATGGTCGTGAAATGAACACCGAGTAAAACAAGTTTCCCTTTCTAATTATTATTTGCCATTAAACTTCATATTATAATTTTTCATTACATAAAGACTATATTTTATAAAGTTTCTTCTAACCCACTTTATTTATTTTTTTCTGTAACAGAAAATATGACTGAGAAAATATACGTTTTCCGTTTGTTAAAGAGAATGAAAAATGCGTTATTTATGATGTATACAGGTTTGTTTATTGATGAAATGCCCGTTAATTAACTAAAGAAAGTTGGATATTTTAATAAATTGGTTTGTTGTTATTTTTTTATTATTTGCAGTTATTACGCATAATAATTCTTAATTGCATATATTTTCAATTTATAGTATCAAACCACATAGTAGTTATTCAGAATAATGTGGCTGCGCTTTACAATCCACTTCTGTCCCTAGGCACCCTAGCTTCTTCTAGTTTTCCTCGTGTCAAGCTTGTTGCTGCCACTTTCTTCCTGACTCTTCCTTCACATCAGCCAACCCGTGTCTTTGAGGTATCCTGACACTTCTGAAGTCGCGCCTCAAATTCTAACCCAACTGCACTCTAATTTATTTACTCGGATTATGACATAAGCCTCCTGCGTTTTTCGTATGATCTCGTAATTTCTGGTATGATCAGTGAGATTTGTCCCCAGCGTCATTCTTTGCTTAAGTCTGTGGCCTGATTTTGTTGTTAGTGAAGTAGTTTCCATGGCATAAGTCATTACTGGGAGGATACATTCGTCTCCATAGTTTCTGCGATTAGTGCGATTACGCCATCTACACGAATCCTGACATTTTCTGAGGTATCGATTTCTGTTTTGTGATTTAGGAGATCCTGCTCACTTTTTTACAAGTTGTATTGAACTTCATTGTGGCACTTTGTAATCTATGATCACTGCCAGTATCAAATTTAATTAAGACCGCAGAGTATTTTACAATGTAGATAACTTTTATGATGATGCAACAAATCCCATTTTTTACTGATGAGTCTGGATTTCTCCAAGTCCATATTCTCTTTAGTTACTTTTGCAAGAATCTATCATACGATACAACTGTTCATTTGCGAGGTAATTTATTAGTTTTTCTCCATGTTCGTGTGAGTAGCCAAGGTCGAACTTTTCTCCGTATTATCATTAACGTTAATATTCCCTACTTTACTATTAGATTCACCAATTATGATCTTGAGCTAGGCATTTTCTTTTCTCTGTGTTCGTGAAATACCCTCATACATTTTTCCATCCTCATCAACAGCGTTACTTGTGGATATCTCCATAAGCACATATATTACTGTGTCATATTAGGATTTCGATTTTGTCTCTAGATGTTCCAGTTTTCTATGAACCATTATGGCGTATTTTCCTTCAAGTTATTCTAGAATATCAGATCTGCGTTTTTCAATATAGGTAATAGATTTTTCATACGGTAACCCTATCACGCATAGTACCAAGAAAATCTTTTTCTTTTTGGAAATTTCTTCTTACGATTGCTCTAGGCATTCGTAACATTTTATTATTCAAATATTTCAACTAATATCAGTGCTAATGTTGTAACATGCTAAAATATTACTGTCTTTTTCCTTTCATGTAGTATTTTATAAATTCAATTGTCGCTTCGAATGCTTACAGTCCTGCCATTATTAAAAGAATGTTTCTGCCGCCAATGATAATAGCAATTATCAACCTAGATGGCACGCTTTTCATTTAAATTTGAAGTACCAGTTTGCTACCAAAACTTTCCGTTGGCTATTTTTCGAAGGGAAGCTCTGCTTGTTCAGCTTGTCCTATTCTTTCTTCCTTTCAAATTTTAAATTTCGACCTGAACGGTCGATCCTGGCCTGGGGGCAGCCATTTTCCTCAAGTGTGATTACCGTTCTCGTGGAAAAAAGTGCCTTATCGGCAGTCAGGCACTAGTTCAACGAAATAAAATTGCGTAAGACAAAGATCTGTGAAAAAAATTTAATCAAAAGTCTTGTGATTGCCGTTTTATTCAAGTTTGAATTTCGAACCCCTCGTGGTTCTTTTTAGTTTCATTAAAAGTAATGGTTGTTCATGGAATGCCTCTATTACTAAGTGTCTTCCGAGGAGCCCGTTTCTTTCGACGAGCCCGTTTCTTTCGACGAGCCCGTTTCCAACGAGCCCGCCCATTTCCAACGACCCCAATTTTCGTGGAGTATGGGGAAGGAATTTCTTAGAGGAATGAAGTCCCTTGCGTGTCGATACCTGTAACTCCACATTTGACAATTACAGTGAACTTCTAGCCTCTATCTACCTTGATTCAAGGCTGGAATCTGCAGCTTCTATTGCCTTCCATCTGCAACTTACTTCGTCAAGTGACAGAAATTGGATGGATACCGTATTTCAACGTTTTCGTTGAAATTGAGGCTTGTTGTACCTTTTTTATGGAATCTATTTTATACTATCAATAACAATAAGTCATTGTTTTTTCTTCTAGTATCATTAATCTGAACTGAGGTCAAGCTTGGACAATATGTTCTCAATTTAAATTTATTAAGTAAGTACGTACATAGTGAAAAATTGATCAATTTTTCACCTGGGTTTTATAACTTATATATTTGGGGATTTCTGTTATATCTCCTTTTTACCTTCAACGTTTACCCTTTGATTTCATACAGTTTCAATTTGGTTTTAGTGAGTTTATTTCTCTGGTAGCAGCTGACCATATTCATCCATATAACGTTACAATTTTCAATCATCCATTTTTTTTTTTTAATAATTATCGGGAAACTTAGGTAAATCTTTTATATTTTCATTTCAAGTTAATGATATGGCCAGCGACTGTTGAGTTAAATTATATGACAACTATATTAGTTGTCATCATTAGAGTTTATAATTCACCCGATAACTCCAATTGTGAGCTTCTAAATAAATTTGAAAATATGGCAAATTCATTTGATTCTATCCAGGAGACCCATTTGAACTCCGAGAATATACTCTTGGGAGATTTAAATGTGCATAACTCAGAGTGGTGAACAAAACAACGCTGGAAGGATTGCTGGAGCATTTGCCATTTCACACGGCCTAACCCAATTGGTAGAAGGGCCCACACGTATTCCTGATTCCGTTTCTCAAGAGGAGAATCTACTCGATTTCTCCCTTACCACTAATCCCGGATCTTTACAAAATCGATGTGTTCCCATCTTTGGGCAAATCACACCACAAACTGATTTTCGCTCGAAGTTCGTTTTTAACCTCAGCTCCTGCTCCAATAACTGGTAGGGTAAAACCCTTCCCCTACTGCTCTACTGCTCCCCCTAGAACCGCTCGCGCATTATCTACGGGTAAGAGGATGTGCCACTCCTACTTCTATTCTCGAGCCTCCTGCAAGCTGTTTTCTTCCTTGTCTTCAATCTTCAAGATAGATTTCACCATAGTACAAATTTGACCCATTTCACTGGGCTATTTAGCATTTCACCTATGGTGTTTTTTGGTGTGTCGGGTATTTAACCGATTTCAAGGGGGAAATATTTAGGTATATCATCCATGACCAGACAGGAACTGGGTCACGTAATAGTCTATTTCTCCGTAGTCTCTGTCTATCCATGCCTCTATATCCGGGATCAGCTTGGCGATCGGTCCAACCTTCCATCTCTGCTAGTTTCCCATATATGCTCGAGCTGTTTTATGTTGTATATCATCCATGACCAGACAGGAACTGGGTCACGTAATAGTCTATTTCTCCGTAGTCTCTGTCTATCCATGCCTCTATATCCGGGATCAGCTTGGCGATCGGTCCACCTTCCATCTCTGCTAGTTTCCCATATATGCTCGAGCTGTTTTGCGCGCGTTTGATTTATCTTGGGGGTTTGCTTTTGCAACCACTACTGCTTCCTCCACCAGAAGGTCTATAGGTGGTACCTCTGCGATCATCAGCAAAGTGTCTATAGAAACAGTACGATAGCTACAGGTGATTCGAATTGCAGCCTGTCTTCGCACCCTCTCGTATATGACACGATTGTTGTTAATCAGCATTGAGGAGCCCCATACTGGAGCAGCGAATAGTAAGATTGATCTCCCCACTAAACACAGCAATCTCCTCTTGCTGGCCCTCGGGCTACCAATGTTGGGCATCAGTCTACCTAGAGCCATCGTTGCATTGCGTAGCGCGCGTCACTGTTTTTTGGACGTGGGTACGAAACTTGAGTCTGAAATCTAGCCATACCCCTAGGTATTTTATCTCTGTTCTGGGGGTAATCTCCATATCCAAGATCTGGTCTGAGGGACCTGCCGCTTAGAGGAGACAATGACTGCATCCGTTTTCTCTTTTGCTAGGAGCAAATGTTTGCTGGACAACCAATTCTGAATTTGCGCCATGGCCATGGGCCTAGGGCGGTCACTGCGCCGTAATCGGCATAGGAGTTAGGGTGACTCCTGCAGCGAGCTTAACGTTCAGTAAGCCGTCGTAAAAGATGTTCCACAGTGTAGGGCCGAGAATGGAGCCCTGTGGTACTCAACACGTCATGTGGGAGTTTTCCCTTTTCTCCTCTGCCTCTCTAGAAATTTGTCTGGTGGTCAGGTAGCTCTGAATTATTTTACTCAAGTATAGGGCTGCACCTCTCCTCTAAATTTCGTCTACTATCTCTTTCCATGGGGCAGAGTTGAAGGCATTCTTGATGTCAAGCGTGACAATGCTGTGCCTGTGGCTTCTATTGTATATGCCTTTCTTCAGGATTTCTAGTACGCTTTGTGAACTGTCTAGCCGAGAGGGTCTCCGTGAGATTCAAATCC